ACTGAAAATTTTTTGGTTAAACAGGTCGGTAACCTGGTCTGTAATAATGTGAATAGGCAATTAACTGTTTGCTGTGATATATTGGGTCTTTACACTTATTTTTTATTCTGCACACAGGGCCGTGCAGAGCATAATTTGGTTGTGTTTGGGCACATTGATGGATACAAATTTTCTAATGGTTTTGTTGACAGATTTCCGCTAATTGTTGATGTATTGTTTTTTTAAACAAAATTTTTTGATCATTTCCATGGCAGGCTAATAGTTTACGGTTGTCTGTATGTAATCGTTATAAGGTTATATGTGGTTGAAACTTATTTGGTAATTTTGCTGGACTATGTTGGCATGAAAAGTATTCACCGTTTTTGTTTTCACTGTAATTTCTTATAAAAGTTCTGTTAGTGAATTATTATTGGAATTAAATTTGGTTACTATGTGCTTATGACCTGCTGACCGGCACTCGTGTATGTCAGTTTTGTGCAAAAACTCAGTGATCTTTTGGGATTATTACCAATTATTCTTCAAGCACTTTTGATACGAGCTGTGAACGATTCTTGAACTAGTGACGTCTTGGTGTTGAGAGAATTATTATTTCTGATTGTTTTCGTTATTATTGTACATTTATTCACTCAACTCTTGTATTAATCGGTTTTATAAGGGAGGTCAGTCTTGCATAAATGATGAGAAGGGAAATTTGAGGAAGTACTTTTTTGCTATTAGGGAAAGTTTTTAGTAATTTGGTTAGATTTTTTTCTTTCTATTCTAATTTGTATATGGTGTTGATTGCCATATCTGGACGTCAAAAATTCCCATGTTTCTTTCTGGCGTAATACTTTTTGTTTTTTTTTTTTTTGTTATATCGGATATTAATCTATATTCTTTTGCTGGTTGAGCCTAATTACTGCGTGCAACCTTTCAGTGGATTCATTAGAGTGTATGGAAATTTCTGTAGACTCTGCTACTGTTGCGTTCGTATGCTATCATTTCTTAGATGTAAATGTAGTGACATTTTATTCTTTTTTTTTCACTACTTTTGCTTTAGGTTTTTTTTTCTAAAGTTTAAAATTCTGGTTTGCAAAATTTTTTTGTTGAAAAAACTCAGCAGAACTATCTAAAAATTCCAGGTCAACGCTGACGACCAAAATTCTTCTGTGACAGTTAATGTCGCTGAAGAAGAGCGTTGCTCTGTGGACTCTGCCTCAACTATTTCCTCATCGAGCTTACAGTCGTCACATTGCTCTTTGCCGAGTGTGAATCCGAGCCCTATGATAAAGCGACGTCTTCTAGCAATGGAAGCAGTACCCATTGGTGTATCCAAGAGTGAACCAACGACGCCTGCAAAAACTGCATGTAGTTCTACTGACAGGAATCACATTACCATTGTACCGTGTCCGTCGCCACCAACAGGTTCTGCACTTGTTCCCAATGGAATTTCATTGAAAATTCCTTATTTGTTTATTTTTCACTGTTTTTGTATATTCTGTAATTGTTATATTAGAACACTCAAAAACTTATTGCACTCATGACCGCATAAGTTACTTTGCGACTCATTTTTGTTAATTAACGCAAACGAATATGTATATATATATATATATATATATA